TTAAGATGATAAATAATCTCACTAGGTAAAGTAAAATTAAAATACTAGGGTACAACATCTTTTAATAATTTATGTTTTTTAAACTTTTTTAACGCTTTTATTATTAAATGATTAAAACATTATTGCATTCACAATTAATAATGATTCATTTTTCATAGTCACTTCATTCATATTAATTGATCATTTTCATGTCAAATTTACATTTTACACTTAAGACAATTATGCTATTATCAAATAGAATAAAAGAAAGAACCGTGAGAAAAATATTGTGCAATTTTTTGAAATAATAAATTTAAAAAAATAATAAGGTACCTAGATTAATTTTACCTAAAACGATTCCCATCCAAAAGTAGCAAATCGAATGTCTTATAATAATCATGAGAAAATTTCGAAAAGTTTAAAAGTTTATAAAATGTATTATATAGAAATGAACTTCTCATTATACGAAGAAAGATTGAGCAGAAATATACACAAAAAAAAAACATAACCTACTTATCAGTGATATATGAATAATTACACACTATTTCCTTTTTTGAAAAATAATTTATGTATACAAATGTATTACATTGTTCATAAATTATTCAATTTTAGACAATAGAACGTTTGCAAAAAATATAAAAATGAATAGTTTGTTACCAAAGTCCATTACAGAAACTAAGAATCCATTCATTTAAATAATCACTTTTACATCCAACAATGCATCTTTTATAGTTAAACAATCTAATATACGTTGAACCTTAAACAGCAAATTATAACCTAAAAACATATTCATAACCTAGAAGAAATAACTCATTTAATGATAAACCGGAGTATTTAACGCTTTTATTTTAATTAAAATGGTTTTAAACCGCGTTCCGAATGTTAAATATAACAAATGGATAACAATGTATTGCGTTTGTGTCGAAATTTGCATATCTTAACAAAATAGTCTGCCTACTAAACATCGTTTAACAAATGAATTCTAACGAAATTAGAAAAAATATTACAATTATATTAACACAAAAAACTAATGTAGGGAGCATTAAGGGTTTGGCAGTTAATTTATTCACCGTTTCGGGTCAAGCTTTAGTTTCTCTGAAGCTTATATTTTTGAATTATTATTTCTCTGAAGCTTATATTTTTGAGTTATGATTATTTCTTTAGTTATAAAAATTAAAAAAAGTTCTAATAATGAATCGTGATTTTACGAACATGTCTTTTTATTTTGCAAATGTGATTGTTTCAGAGCCTCTAAAGCCTTTTATTAATATATGTAATTTAAAAAATGGACAAGCGGTGCACATTTTATGAAATAACTATTTAATATTACAAAAATCAGTGTTTCAAAACCTGGTGGTCATGACCCTCAGGTGGAGGGGGTTACGGAGACAAATCAGGCGGATCGCGAACTTAGTAGCATACATTTTTTCTGTACTCGTTCAGTAATTATATTATTTAACTAATTTTAGAAGCTAACGGAACATGCATTTAGCCACGCTCTATTATATTTTAAACATTTTTAAAGTCATCATGACTTAAACATAAATTTATTTAATATTGCTACATAGCTGCCAAGCTTTTAGTTATTTTTTTGTTTAAGATTTTTCACATTGGTACAAAATAATATAAATTTCGTGATAATTGTTGCATAATGTACTAAATATTCTACACTTAGGGAATTTTAAAGATTTTTATAGTCATCAAAATAGAAAAATTGCAATATTTTCCAGTTGTGATTAGCATTAAACACACTTGAAAAGTTATGTATGATTTAAATTCATAATTTCGAATATTAAAAGGCATTTAATTCATTAAAGATAGTTAAAATATTTTTTTAATTAATTTAAAATGGGAGTTCTGAATAACAATAAACTGAATCTCTTATAACAAAAAAACGTTTTGAACTGGTTTCTATAAATGAAGCTCGCTTCAATATGTATTAGTAATACTTATTTAAATATATTCTAGCAAACAAGCAATAATCTGTACAAAAATTCTATTTCAAATAGGGATTTTTTTAGGAAACTTACACATTTTAGAGAATTTTCTAAAATGTACCAAAACCAGAAGAATTTTAATTAAACCAGGAGAATTTGGAAAAATCCAGTAGAGTTGGCAGCTATGCACCCATTGGTAGTTAAAAGCATAATTTTCACAGTTCTTAAAGAGATAGTTCTTATTGGAATTACAGTAGAGTTCCGATTATCCGAGCCCCGGTTATCCGAGTTTCTGCTTTAACCGAGCTATCAAATATTTCAAAGATTTTTTTTGTTCTAGTTTATTTTTAAAAAAACCGCTGAAAAATAAATCTGAATTTTATCTTCCAAACACTCAGAAAAACAAAATCCAACAAGATGGTCTGGTGAAATTATCGTTAATATCGTCAATAATGATACTGAATCTAGCGAAGATGATGAAGACAGTGATTATTAAAATCAACATATAAAAATCTCTCATACAGATGGACTAAAAGCTATCGAATGTACTATGATATATGTAGAACCACAAAAAGAGGCGACAACAGCCTTCCTGTTATCCCTAAAAAAGGCGAAACATTACTACAGAAAAGCGCCTAAGTTACGTAGAACGAAAAACGATTAAGGACTTTTTTTAAGTAAAAACTATTTAATTCTCGTAAAGTATGCTTTTTAAATGTTTTTAAGTAAGCTTTTTAATTATAATATGAATTGTATGTGGTATACTCGTATACATTTTGTATTTCTTAAATATATTATACTTTCTTATACATTTATATTTCTTATACATTTATATTTAAATATATTATACTTCCTTATACATAAATACTTTGTCTTTTTCCTTCCGTTCTTATACTCTTCGCTTTAACCGAGTTTTTCAGCTATCCGAGTTTGTTGCGGTCCCCATTAACTCGAATAATCGGGACTCTACTGTATTTTAGCTTTAATAATTGTGCAGGCCTTCGTGCATGATATTTTAGCAATGTTCAGTACTGTTTTGGTGATTATTTTCTTGCTTTTTGTCACCACATATGAAGAACAGGTATTCAGTTAGTTTACAAAATAAGAGCAATTAATTATTTTTTTAATTATATATAATGTTTATAAATTTACAATACATTTTGACTGTTTAAAATCGCATGAGGAGTGAATTTATATTTAACGACATTTCCCTCCATACAACGAACTTTGGGGATTTAGCGATTTCGTTAAATGGAGGTCCGACTGTAGTAGTTAGCAGTACTTAAACAAGAAGAAGATATTCCAACGTCTGTGTTTTAATTTGGCCTCATTGAAATCTTCATTGAAGCGAGTGAAGATGAACATGAGAATTAGTCACGCGATTACCGAGTGTGAAAAGATTTCAATCTTGAAAAACAAATCAACGTGTGAAACTTGAATCGAATTATAGGGATATTTATATTGTGCCGAATCATTGGAACGAAAAGATAAAAAAGGATTTGTATATATAGTTCATTGACTTAAAAATTTCATTTTCAAACATTAAGAAAATTGTTCAGTCAAAATTTAAAGAAAATAGTGTATGATTGTATTTTTATTCATAAACTGAAGTATTTAAATTTTTTTTTTTTAGTAATTGGTGTGCTTGTAACTGGATACCAATTGATTAAAACTTTTTCAATGCTATATCTGCTTAGGATATATATGCACCCAAAAAAAAAGTTTGTTTTCGCGTTCCAATGAGGTGGACCGGGTTCGAATCCCAGCGATGGCTGGTCGATATGGGTTCCGCATCCGGCTTGCACCGACTACAGTACTAACGTGAAATATCCTCTTTGGTAGAAGGATCATGGGTTATTTGGGGAAATTTTTACTGACTTGGGTACTGTACTTGGAAAACAATTTACTGGCAAATATTTAAATAAAAAATAGAAAGGAAAAAACATTTCTTTTGACTGAATCTCGAAAAAACATGGTTCGAGTCCTTAACACATTTTTTCTCAAACCTTAAATAAATAGAATTTAGAAAATGGGGGAGAGAGATAAGTCTGTCGGAAAACTTGAACAGAGCCTCCCCTAAAAAAAATCTGGATATTTGTGACTTTTGGCAAAATGGATGTTATTAAATATTTTTTTCTTTTATAAAAGCTCCAACAATGATACCTTTAGTAGCACCATAAATGGGTGCATGCCTGTGCTTTCCCTTGCAGCATGCTCAAAGCACCGTGGTGGCTCTGCCGGTAAAGACTTGTCTCATTCTACTGGTGGACAGCCAGAGGTCGTGAGTTCGATCCTGGAAGCCGACTATAGAACCGACGTGTATGTAAACTCTGTCGTGACTGAATGGCCTCTTGTTAGAGCGGGGGTTTTTAGAGAGGGGTACCAATTGAGGCGGTGTCCTCGTCGCCTGACTAAGATCAAAATAACATGACGTGTCTATCATAACTACTAAACGATAGAGCGCTGAAAAACGGAACTAAGTGTTTGGGCATGGTTGGGTGAAGTACTGCTAGTTCTAAAAATTTTATTTGTATTTATCATATTTTATAATTTTTGTATTTTATAACCGTCGTTGAACAGTCGACCCAAATCTGGGTTTACTAACTAACCGCAACTAACGACTACGTTAGTTGTCGTTAGTTACGGTTAGTAGATAGGTGGCAGTCGTAACTAACGTTAGTTACGACTGCCAACCTTCAACTCCGTATCCTTGTAATTTTGATCCCAATTCAGAAGACATGAGAGCTCCTGGATCAGTACTCCCAGAGGTATTGATTTGTTATGGGAACGTGGAGGACTTTGTGACCAGACAGATTTAACGTGCATCAGTCACCATTTACTACACGGAGAGTCTTCAGTCGACGAGGATCGAAACCACGACATGGGCTCATTGCCCTACCAACCAGGCTATTCCGGCTTTTTGTATTTATCATAACAAAAAGTTCCTCTTTATTCAGTATGATTACACTAGAATGTATGAAATACTTATTTATTTCTTGGTTAATAAATTGTCTATATTGCATAAAATAATGAAAAATAATTCAACCGATAAACGATACCCATAACATTTCTTTTCTATTGCAGATTTAACATGAGGATGCTTCTTACGGATATTGAAATTGGGATTCTCTACCATGATAGAAAAAATAATGTGAAAAGAACAGGCGTCGCCAAAAGAACAGGCTGTTTAAACATCACATGAGGCATTACTCCTGAAATGTAAGTAGGAAACATACAGTGAGGGGAAAAAAACTTTAATTATGTAATGATCGGATTTTTACATTCTAGGATTCAATCTTAATGGTTAGTTCGATGGGGAGACATAAAATGTGATAATTGGTTAGTGCAAGTCGTGGTGGCTCAGGGGATAGAGCGTTCACTTCCAATGAGGTGAACCGGGCTCGAATCCCAGAAATGGCTGGTCGATTCAAAGCCCGATATCAAATTGCACCGACCATAGTACTGGCGTAAAAATATACTTAATGGTAGACGGATCATGGGTTAGAACCCACTTGCCGTCAGGCTAGCCGTGGGAAGTTTTCGTGGTTTTCCTCTCCATGTAACACAAATGCGGTTCAGTTTCATCGAAAAGTATCCTCCTAATACTTTATCCAGGAGTTCCCTTGTCTTCTGGATTGGGGTAAGAATTACAAGGCTACGGAGGTGAACATTGGTAAACGTAAACCGAAAATTGGGTCGGCTGTTATAATTATTAAGGTCAGATGATATTTTAAATTACGAAATCAGACACAAAAACGTATTTTCTCTGCATAAACATTACTTTCTTTCGACGGATCAGGATGCCTTAAAATATGGTGGATAACCGTAATCTGGGAAATGTGATCTCAATAGTTTAATCAGGGAGATCGGTCTAAACTTTGGACCCCTTAATGTTAGTTTTACTTTTCACGTATTTAGTTCCACGCAAAAAATTTGTTTTCATCTTAATTTTATTTAATAATAGACGGAAAATTTTTTTTCATTAGAAGGTGTAAAAAGTTTTACATTATTTAAAGAATTCAATTTTATAAGGGAATACAAAAATACAAAATATTATCTATACAAAATTTTATGAAATTGGGAGAACAGTCCCCCCCCCCCTCATAATTATCGACGACAAGAGTATGAATGCTAACTGTAGAACAGGGTTTTCACAGATAATAGAAAAAATAAGGCGTAGTAACAAAAATAAAACAAACCTCGATAATTTAATGCATTTGTAATCATCACTATATTTTATTCTTATATAATTTAATTTTATAACAGTCGCTGAACAGACTACCCAATTTTTTTGGGTTTACGACTACCAATGTCCAAACTTTTGAAACCAATTCAGAAGACAAGGGAACTCCTGGATTAAGTATAGGGAGAAATTTGCCTTCGAGGAGGACTTTTTGACGGAACTAACATGCATTTGCGTTACATGGAGAGGAAGACCACGAGAACCTCCTACGGTTAGCAAGGGGACACTAACCCATGATCCGTCTACCACTGAGGATATTTCACGTCAGCACTGTGGTCGGTGCAAGCAGGATCCGTATTACGTATCGACTAGCCATCACCGGGATTCGAACCCGGTTGACCTCATTGGAAGACGAGCGCTCTATCCCCTGAGCCATCGCGGCTCAATCATTACTATATGTTGATTTCGAAGGGGAAAAAATGAAGTATTTAAATTTGTACGAAAGCTCAGGCCAAACAGAGCTAGAAACATTAAAATGGCAGCCTTGAAAAAATTAAAAAAAAATCCTATTAGAAATATTATAATTTTTAAATTTTTTAAAACCCGAAGCAGTTTAATAAAAATTCATATAAAAGAATTTTTAAAAAAAATATAGTATGCTTTAATTATTGCTTTGGTTACTCAACTCATTATTATATAACTAGGTTATTGCATTACTAGGTTAAATTATTTTAGGTTGCTCATAAAATATGATTCAAAACACAACTAATATATTCATTATATGTATTTTAGAATACTATCATGAGGACACCATGCATCCTACTACATTCGGCCATATGCATATGCCTGATATCAGTGTGCACAGCTGGGTGTCTTTTCCTCAGAGATGACCACAGCATCCGCTGTCAGAATACCAGCTTGTTGGACATAGCCGAATCACTCCACATTCTGACAGCTGTTGTCCTCAACAGGCCGCACACCATCGAAGTAGAAGACTGCAAAGGCAGCGATCGCTTGCCAACCATATTCGAAAGCATCGCGCAAAATTCCGGTGTCCAGACGGTCCGGATCAGGAGATCAGATCTCAGGTCCCTGCAGGATCAAGTTTTTATACCGATAGCCAATGATCTGAAAGATCTGGATCTTTCCCACAACCAACTGACCAGTCTCCCGAAAGCGATGGTGGTGTTGAAAGTTCTGGAGCACCTCAATTTGCAGCATAATATGATCGTGTTTCTGAAACCGGACGGTGTGTTGGACAGTTTACCAATGCTTAAGGAGTTGAATTTAGCCCACAATTACATTGGTCTAGCGGAAGAGTTGGAGGAGAATAACAATGAACAACACGGATACAGATTGAAAGGTAAGAGAGTGTGTATACAATTAATCTTTTTTGCGGCCGTATTAACTACATACATGGCTGTCATAATGGACGGAATTAATTGAAGCAGGGGAGTCATCCCCTCTGCTGAGGATCAAAATTGCAATGGCCTGGTCTTCGGATCATCCTCAGGGATGTTTGCCAGATCGTCAAAAGGGTGATTGTAAGCTCAATTCAAAAATCCCGAAAATATCTAGAGTAAAATCATTAATGATAATGATACGTTTCAAAAAATTAATGTCTTCATAAATTTAAATCATTGATATTTTCACAACATGAAATTCTAAATAAATTATACCCAGCACAATTTAAGTTAAAAATTTTGTCAATCATAAATTCTAGTTCTAATATTTTTAAATAAAATAAACAAGAATTTTGACACCTAAATATGATCGATGGTTTCTTAAAACTTCTGGACCTTGAATTTCCGGATCGTGGTTAGCGAAAAGTGCAGAAATCCGGATTTTTTCTAGAGCACAATCATCGTTGCTGTCAGCAATAACCCATTGTGCAGCTGTAGAGCGATGTAAAAGAAATACCGATGTAAAGCGATGTAGAGCGATGTAAAAAAATAGTACCTAAGAACCGGTTGTTGGACAATGCAGAAAAAATTAGAAAGAAAAAAACGTGATTTGTAAAATATTATTTTGTATTTCATGTATTTCCAAAGCCTACCCCAATACTGTAATACAGTAAGATCAGAATGGTCCTTTGCTGTGATTGGCTGAGTGCAGACATACAACTGGAACGGGCGGGAAAAAAAGCTTAGGTGGCCAAACATTAACCTATGATCACAAAGGGTTAAGATATTAGATATCTTTTACTATCTTTGAAGCTGAATAATTTATTAATACAATGACCCTTAATTGCCCAACGTCCTCTTTTAGGGTCAATTCTAATAACAATTCTAATAAATACATACAGGATTTATTCGCATAATTTGAAGACAACGTTTAAAAACAAATGCCATTCGGTATTTTCCCATACAATAAAATTTTTTAAATGTATTTAATATTAAATCATATAGTAAATTTTTTCCCCGCATTTGATTCATTATTAACTTTAACAGGATATTTTTTAAGAGATATACACATTTTATTTTAATATCATACTGCTATAAGTTTTCGTGACTATTCGACCAAATTTTTTTTTTTAAAAAAATAACGAGTGAATAAAGGTGGTACAGAACGAAGGAAGATGCAATCCGAATCATTGAAGTAATGAATAGGAGAATTGCTGTGCAGTGGACGAACTAGTCAAGTAAAAAATTATTATTAGATTAGTTAATTATTTGAATAGTTAGGTCATATAATTAAGTGTCACCCTTAAAGTTATTAAGTATTTAATTTACTTTCAATAAATATTTAAATAAATAGAACTGTAAGAATATTTCTGTTTCAAAAAATCTCAAACAATTTTATATTTCAAAAAATTTTAGGATTTTGCATTGCGTTTATAATTTTTAACTGTTTTTTAATTTGAAAAAGGGAAAGAAAAGTTTAAAGGCAGGTGTTTTTAGAGATTTTCTAGTTTATTTAACAATATTAAATATAAATATCATTGAAAAATTGCCACTAGAGCATTAATGTTAAACAATTTTCAAAGAATAGATGAAAATCTTAATCAAAAAAATATTAAATTACTTCTGATGAAAGTAAATATAGTTTAGGTTGCGTTATTATACCGATGCTTAAAATCATATATATCGATAAATTAATCAATCATTCAACACCAAACAATTTGCCCGAAAATATAATTAAATAAAATATTGTTACAGTGCGATGTTTAATATTAGTCACACAGATGAGCATAACAACGGAAAACTAATGTTAAATTAACATCTAAAAGAAACAAAATGAAATCTAGTAACTTTAATACTTAAAATCACATTATTGATAAATTAAACAATTATTTAACTCCAAAATCTTTGCCCAAAATTCAATTTAAAAAAATATGGTAATAGAGTGACGTTTAATGTTAGTCACACAGATCAGTATAAAAATAGAAAACTAACGTTAACATCTAAAAAAAGAAACAATATCTTAAACTTTAATACTGTAAAACTTATAAATAACAATTTCCTCAATAGTAACAGTGAAAGATATTAATTACACAATCCAGACTTAAAGAAAATATATATACTTTTTCTTTTTAATTCAGTTGCCCCACACACAATAAAATAAATTTCCAAACCCATTTATTTCACATGAAAAACAACAAACATTTAGAGCTATTGAAGTTAATACTTTTCAAACACAATGTATTTTCTAAGCTTTAAGAATTTATTTAATCGCTTTAATGCGCTCAAAACTAAGAATTACATACGGAGAAATTATTTTAAATGTTTCCTTAAAACAAAACCAAGCATTAAATCTCCTTCAGGTTAAGACACATACCTTAACACAGGATCTCTTAAATGTCTCAATTACCTGCATTGGAAAAGAAAAGGATTTACAGAACATTAATTTCTTGGCGGGAGAACTTCTGGGTCAAAGTGCGAGAGCTATATTTGGCTTCCCAAAAGAATCGCCAACGGGCATCTTTTTCTTCCTCTCAAAAATGCCATAGAAGAGATTAAAAATATTCGAAAGAAAGATAAAAGAAAAAGTAATTTAGGAAAAGGGTGTAAGAGGCTTATAAAAGAATAAAAATGGGAACTTCGGAATGAAAAAAAAAGCAACAGAGCGTCCCCAATCCGTGGCAATTTTGCTGCTTCCATTGAATCGCGCAATTAATGAGAATGGCCGATTAAAAATTTTCTGATAAAGAAAGGGTCAGGGCATTGCAACATATCTTACCATGCTTTTCATACCAAGCATGGCGATCATTAATCATCGTTTCTTTTTTCTCCCTTTTTTTAATACCAAACTAATCTGCTTGATCAACGATTATATTAAATTGCAATTATTTCACGGCATTTTTTTTTTTTTTTAATTTGGAAGTTACGTTTCAATAAATGTTATGTACTTTACAAAAGGTCAGTCTAAAATATATGGTTTAAATAAATATACCTACAGTCCTTAGCCAAATTATTAGGATACTATACAGGTTTATTGATTTTACGTGACTGAAATTGGTTTGCATTTGTTTACGCTTGTGTATCAATTGGTTAAATTAGACGATATAAAATATACTAGTGGGCTGCGCCCCCTGCTCGCTAACGGTCGCCAACCCCCGAAAATTGCTTCGCAACCATATCACGAAATAAATAGATAAATAAATAATTCGCTTCGCTCGCTACTAACTTAGATTCATTGCAAATGCACAAAATTCTAAGAATTCAAAACAATCATTCAAATCCATATAACAACTTTCTTTTTTAAAAAAAAAAAATTACACATTTTTAGTAAATACTAAGTAATTAAAATAAATTTGAATTCAAATAAATGACATGTAATTCGTTAAACCTATTAGAAATGTGCTATAGTATAAAGTCTTAAAACGTAACAGCACGACTGAGACTCATTTTTCAATGAATAACTAATAACAATAATAAAACAAAAAAATTCGTGATATAAATCAAAAATCGTCAAATAAATTCGTAATATATAAATTCGTGAAAAAAAGCGCTTTCAACAAAATACTAAATTAGAGATCTATCGACAAAGACTACTCACTTCTGCCTAGCTTAATAGTATGAGATTGCCGCAGCTATGGGGTGAATTTCGGAAGAGATCACATTTGGTAAGAATGCTCTCTCTGGTTATTTCAGTTTCCGTTTTTAAAAGCGCTATACCTTGAGCCACCTTAGATTTGGCAAGTGACATTTTTAGCGGCAATCATGGGTCGATTTGCGTTGCCATTCGGGGAGTTGTAATGAGGCTTTTTTTGTCGCCGTGTAAGAGAAATATATATATAGATATTTGACGATAGGATAAATTAGACGAAATATTATATAAATAGAGAATATTTATTATATAAGATTTTATATTAGTATATTATAATAATTAGGCCAAATTATTAGACGCACTGTCATTTTTTTAATGGTCACTTGTTTGGCACGATTTTGTATGCAATACTTTTACATTTAAACATACATGTAGTGTGTTTTTATTCGGGAGAGTTTTTATATGCGTCCTATTTGTATTTATTTTTAACGTATTGCATTACAATGTTAACCCATTGATACACGAACATAAACAAGTGCAAACCGGTTTCAGTCGGGTAAAAACAATAAAGCTGCATAGAGTATCACCTGATAATTAAGATTTTACATCGAATCTTATAGTACGTTCCCACTGGGAGCTTGTCATCCATTTGGCGTGCACTTAGATGCAAACAGGCTCTCTCCATAGGGGATAATGGTTTTTTCTTAACTTGCAACTGTGTACAGTTATAATAAATATAGTTATAATCTAATATATATAATTCTCCTACGTGGCTCTCAAATCTTGGCTGCATTTCTTTTCGCCGGTGGCAACGTTTGCTTTGTTTTGTTTACGTTACTATTTCTCTTACACGGCGAATCGACCACTGATTGCCGCTAAAAATGTCACATGCCAAATCTAGCTGAGGTGGCTCAACATATAGCGCTTTTAAATACGGAAACTGAAATAACCAGAGAGCATCAGCTGCGGAAATCTCATACTATCAAGCTAGGCAGAAGTGAGTAGTCTTTGTCGATAGATCTCTATTTTAGTATTTTGTCGAAAGCGCTTTTTTTTCACAAATTTATATATTACGAATTTATTTGACGATTTTTGATTTATATCACGAATTATACTATAGCACATTTCTAATAGGTTTAACGAATTACATGTCATTTATTTGAATTCAAACTTATTTTAATGACTTAGTATTTACTAAAAAGATGTAATTTTTTTTTTAAAAAAAAATTTTTACATGGATTTGAATGATTGTTTTGAATTCTTAGAATTTTGTGCATTTGCAATGTAAGCTACGTTAGTAGTGAGCGAAGCGAGCTTGGTTTGCGAAGCAAACCATATAAGATTGCGTAGCAATTTTCAGGGGTTGGCGAGCGTTAGCGAGCAGGGGGCGCAGCCCACTAGTAACATAAATTTGTTATAAATATTTAAAATGAGATTGACATAAAATATGTGTAATTTCCATATATTCTTGTAAAAGTCTGTGACATTTCTCTCAATTTTTCAGGAACATTGCAGTTACAAGATTTTAGTTTGGGAAGAGCATCGCGCAGTCTGGAGTCTGTGAGTCTCAGAGGGAACAGAATGGCCACCATACCAACCCAGATATCTGGCCATGGTTTGCCAGAGCTACGACATCTGGATTTGAGTGAAAATGTGATTGGTGGTCGTATCAACGAGTTTTCATCGAGTCTCTTGCCGAAGTTGGAATATCTTCACCTCCAATACAATAGAATTCAAAGTCTACAGTTCTATTCGATGCCTTCGACTCTAAAATACCTGGACCTTACAGGTAAATTGTACTACATACAGGGTATCTGCTACATTTTAGATTTTCCAATTCATGACTTTCCATGACTAATCCCAAGAACTTTTCATGACTTAACAAAGTTACTATATTTTCTTCGACAAAAACAGAATAATAAATTTAAAAAAAGCATTATAATAACAATAATTGAAATGATAGGTATAACCAAAACTGTTATAATCTGCATCTTCATATTTACAGATTTTAAATTTAAAAAACAGAGTAAAGAAAGAGTTGAAGCTATAAAATAGCTGAAAAAAATACAAAAGCAAAAAAAAAAAATTTCTTTCTTTCTGCAGAATTAATTATACTTTAAAGATACTTTTCTTGCTCAGCGGAAAGAAAAGAAATACTCCTGATCTTCTGTTCTCATTTCGGAATTAAAAAAATTCGCCAATGACTGGCTTGCTTCAGTTAGAATTTTAAATTGAAAGAATTTAAAAAAAAAAAATAGCAAAAATTCTGAAATCACGAAAGTTTAAAAGATAATCCGCTCTAGAAATGATGTTTTTTATTTTATTTTTCGAAAGTGCACTATAATTTTTAAAGAACATAATAAAAACATTACTTATTTTAATAAAATATGACTGTGAGTGGGGATTTTATTACAAATTCAGGTATTCGAAACGCCATGAAATTGAGGGGGGGGGAGGATGAATTCCATTTTAAAAACTAGATTTTTCAGCGACCTAAAGCCATGACTTTCCATGATTTTTTTAAAAATAATAATTAAAATCCAGACATTTCATGACAATCTTTGTTCAGTACCGAAATTCACGACTTTCCATGATTTGACTTTCCAGGTGGGCAAATAACCTGCACATAATTTGACCAGAAAAAAAATAAGCAAATTCCATTAAAACTACACAAAATCTTGGTTTCAGGTCAGGTAATTGAGCAGTTAATGTCACTTAACCTTTATCGATTTAGCATATGGATGGTTGACTAAATGTAAACAATAACAAGCTTCCGGGAGAAATTTTGAAAACTTCCGGTGTATCCCTCCGCTTATGTTACCCGAGGCGATGTGTAAACAGGCTTGGTATTCCAGGAAGCTTAATTAGTGTGTTTCGTGTTTAAATTTACGTGCAATTTTACCATTCATTAGAGTTTACAGTAATTTATGAATTGTAACGGGTCATGAGCCTGACACAAATTTAAGAAAATTAATCTCACAGCATAAATAAAGTGTAAGGTTAGTCATGTTTTTAGCGTTATCTTTATTTGGCTATTCCACTGAGGTGACCAGGGTTCGAAACCCAGCGATGGCTGGTCGATACGAATTCCGCATCCGGCTCGCACCAACCACTGTGCTGACGTTAAATATTCTCAGTGGTAGAAGGATCATGGGTTAGAGTCCCCTTGCCTCACTGTCTCCTGGCATAGTCGTCAACCTAGCCCAACAAATTTAGAAATTTGGCAGAAAACTTTTATTACAAACAATACTTTAAACAAAAGATTAATAACAGTAATGAACTTCTTAGCGGATAATGACTATCTATTAAAATTTTAATATCTTCCCATTTCACATGTATAATATTTTTTTTTGTCTTATTTCTTCTTAAATTCCACACTTTCTGTAAAATCTGTTCTTTTTTTTTTTTTTAAATTTTTTTAAAATATTATGTTATTTAGGCTGGAGCGGAGCTGGACCAGCGGCCAAGTCCTGGGCTATATGGTTAAGGGTTTTCATAACCTAGGTACATGCTCAGGGCTTGGAGGGAAAAAAAATAAAAAAAAGGCCCCTTGCCTTCAGGCGAACCGTGGGAAGTTCTCGTGGTCCTCCTCTCCATGTAACGCAAATGCGGGCTAGTTCCATCAAAAAGTTCTCCACAAAGGGAAATTTCTCCCACTACTTGATCCAGGAGTTCCCTTGTCTTCTAGATAGGGTTCAAAATGACAAGGCTACGGAGTTGAACATTAGTAGTCGTAAACTCGGAAATTGGGTCGGCTGTTCAACGACGGTTATAAAATAAAAAAATAAAATACAATTGTGTAAAATAGCACCGTTTGTTATTTTTTGGGTAGCATCATAGCAAGCTTGCGCAATTTTCAGAATTCATTTGTTATTTGTTTCGTTGAAATTTAAACGTAAAAGAGGCGTTATATTGTAAATACTAAGAGTATAATAATATTGGATGTTGCGCGTTTTCAAGCTTGGGCGTAAAAATCAATCGAAAGTAGTAACCCGGAATTGTTTTAATCCCTAGCGCCACCTGTGCTTAGCTTTACATGATCCATATGTATTAATAAGAGGTGAACCATATGTATTAATAAGAGATCAGATGTATTAATAAGAGACAACCATCCATATGTATTAAAAGATACCTAAACGGTAAAAAGTGGAAAAATTAACCAATTACATGTTTATGTCATAAGAACGGGCTGTTTCAGTAAAAGAGATCTTAAAAATTTTAAAAGCATATTAACACTTATTTCTCAGTTTAGACTGGAAAAAAAAATTTTTTTTAATAAATGTTAATTAATTGCATGAAATCCAATAGAATGAAAGTAAAATATTTTTTTATTCATACAGATAATCCATTCCACTGCAACTGTTCATCTATGTGGTTGTATGAGTGGTTTCAAACTAATACAACCGACATTAGACTGCCCATCTGCAATTCCCCAGAAAAGTTTAAAGACCTTGCAATGGAAGAGATGCCGTGGGCTGTGGAATGCCCGGAAATTAACAGCACATTACGTTACATGACAAAAGGTAAGGGTGCAATTATTAGTGTAATATATTTGCCATAATAAAGGCACACTCAACCAGCACTTTTAACAATAATTTCTCTTTAATATGTGTCTTTTTGTATAACTGTAATAGTGCCTAGCAATGTCGCAGTATTTCGAAAGTTATCGATTATTTTTTCTTCAAAATTTGCCCATTTACTTTTGATATGGATGACATGGATGTCTTTAAATTCAATGTTTTAGTTATGATTAACTTTAGGAAAAAATAATATTGCAACATCGCGGGATTTGGAAAAAAATCTATAGTTGAAATTTTGATTATAATCTTATAGTTCTTAAGAACACCGACTTGAGTGCGTAGTGGTCAGTGAGCTGACATCACATCAAAAAGGTTCTGGGGTTGAATCTCGGACATGGAAGTTTTTTACATTCTTTGTACTCTGTTGTTACTGTGGGAGCAACGTTGGCCCACCTAATATGGGGCAACTGATTGAGTAGCCAACAAATCTGCCCTACACATACCTGAATGACGAGTGTCAATCGGGTGGGCATTGAAGAAAAAACATTTTATAACCCGAATTAAGATTAGAACAAATATAGATTAAAATAGTTTATTGAGCACATTTAAATATTTAATTATTTATATTCGTTAATTAAATTTAATTAATCAATTTTAGTTTTATATGGGAGAAAAAATTTTAATTATTTAATTAAAAGCAACTAAAATAAAAAAAATTTACATTACTTGTTTCAGATTCTGAAGAATATGATGTTATCAAACTGGCCAGTAGTTCGAACTATATAACAGTATCGTGGAAAGTAGATGACCAAAGCAGCAACATCGGGAAATGGACCATAGTGTACCGGAAATCCGACGACAGCCCATACCAAATGACGGTAGTGCCTATTACAGAACCACAGCAAACGTCGAGGGTTGTCCTCACTCAACGGATAACAGGACTCAATCCAAAAACAAATTACATAGTATGTGTAGCCCTAGTGCTGGAGGCTAAATACACCATCGAACCAAATAAATGCAGAAAAATAACCACGAAAGGGACTAGTACAAATACGGACTTGATTAAGGGTATTAGAACTGAAATTGAAGAATTGAGCGTCTCTGCGACGGCTATCAACATCAGGTGGCGTTTAAAGATGCCATCCGTATCCTCAGAAGAAGATGAAGACAATATGGCTGAATCGATTCGGCATGAGTGGACCATACGAATTAGACGCACCGGTTCGGACAACTATACAAATATTCCGGTCTATGACATCACGTCTGGACATGACATTGAAGACCAGGTGTACGAGTACGGCATATCGGACTTGTCGCCACGTACCCATTACGACGTCTGTCTGGTAGATGTCGAGCACAGGGCAATAAGCGACGAAGACTACACGCCGTTAGTAACAAACGAGACTTCGTCCTGCAGTACGGTACAGACGTACAACAACTACATCCTGTACGCCACTGAGATCGTTGCTATAACACTTGCTTGTGCCATCTGCTTTATCGTGAGTGCGGTCACGATCATTCTGTGTAAGCAGAAGAAACTTCTACGATGGCAATCTCCTACGAAACTGAGGAAGTGGTTATCGAGGCGTTGCAAGGAGAGGCCTCAACCCATAGGCTGTAACAGCCACTACGCGACAACCAGTACACTGCCCAGGGTGCAGCCATCATCGGCAGCAACAGATGCCAGATGCCTGGTAGGGACCTGGAACACTTTAAGATCCCCGTATTCACATTTTGGTGATATAGATAGACCAGAATTTCGCAGTTTCAGGACTACGACGTACAGAGACGCATTGACGTCTGTAACGATATACAAGTCTGGTTATTCGGAATGTTGACGTACATACATCAGTTCGTTGATATACAATAAAAGCAAATTACAAATTATAACAAATACATAGAAATTGAATGTGGACATTGAATTTCGAAAGAAATTATAGTGAAAACATATGACTTTATATGCCAGTAAAAATCAAGCAACATTGACTGCTATAGTATTTGTATAAGAATCATGTTTTTTTAATGAAAAAAAATTGTACTGTAACAGTTAGTATGCAGTATTGCTAAATACATTGGGTATAATGGTTATCAACCTTTTAGGAAAAAATTAATGCAGGTTTAATATTCTCAGCTATCTTTAACTTTTACATCAGGAAAAAAAGAGGGAAATACGGCCATTATCCAAACTGCTTTCTGCTAAAATCCAAGTGAAAATAAAAATTAAAAGGAAAAAAAAATTTATTTTTTTTAAATTTTATTTAGTTTTAATTTATGAGTAAATAAAACTCAACTTCAAGTTGAGTTTAAAAATTCAGAATTTTTTTTGAGCCCTTAACCAAGGGGCAAAATAAATTTAGAACCACAGTTCTAAGGGAAATGTATACAGAAATAATTAATTGAAACAATCACACTGTATAAATATAGTCTATAATAATTATACTGCAAAAATAACTTAATACATTCAACAATTTTTAAACTATCATTGCGTTAATAAAGCTATGCAGTTATGATGTTAACTCAACCGAATATAAGTTGAATATATATGGATGATAAAAAAAAAAAAAATGGATAATGACATACGCATGTAATTATATCATCTTGACAGAAATAAGCAATGTAAGAAAGAAAGGGGGGGAAAACAAGCTGTTTTAGCCAAATTTGATGTGTAAATATATAATAAAGTTTCTTTTTTTTCAAAAACAAAAAAAAAAAAAGAAGTGTTCTGATTTATTTTTTATAACTTTTTTAATGAAACGCTTGATCAGAATCAAACTTATAAACAAAATTTGTCAGTTAATCTTTTTTTTTTATTTTTAGTGCAAAAGCTCTTGATATATTATTCAACATACACTGCTTGACTAGAAACATTTGACTCGATTCTTTTAGTTCCTGTGGTTGGAATGTTTGTTCTGTGTGGTTCTGGTTGGCGCGGTTCTTATTCAATACAAAGACAGCCAAGTAGAACATAAACAAACTAATTATGCATCGAAGTTGCCAGGCACACAAAACGAAAATATATCACAGTTACAATAAAATACATAAACAAACAATAAATCTAAGTTAAGTAAAAGATGTAGACGAAAAAGAATTATATTTCAACAAATTCGAGGTGCAATACCGGTGCTGCATTTAATTAATTTAACGTTAATTAACAATCTAACTTATGTGGAGAAACTTAGCTCAACTTTAACACGCTATTTTGTTTATAACTATCAGCTGGTGATGACTTTATAGGTCACATATATAGGTATCCGAGATCATCTTCTTGAAGTGTAAGTACCAAATTGTCGTTAATTTTTTATAACTTCGGTTCAAACACGCTTCAAAAACATAAGTACGAAAATTATAATCACGTGATTTCACATATTTTTAAACTATTAATTCTATGAAGTCATCCTAACTCAAAGACTTAAACTTAACTATGAGTCAAAAATAAATAATAATTAAAGAACGCGTAACATGCTCCGTAGCTAGCACAAATTACTATTACTTCTCTAGATTTAAAAAAAAAAAACTGTTTAGGAGTTCAATCTTACTATTCAACTTTTCAATTTTGTTTTTCTGCGCAAAGAACTATACGATTACGTATAGAAAAATGTACTGCATGAACTATAGATGAATAGAAAAATGTACTGGATTTGTAATGTAATAAAAAATATGTAACATTCGACAATTAGATAGAGAATTATAAACTGTTCAACTTAAGTAAAAAATGCAACGCGAACCGCATCGCAACCCGCAGAATTTCAGCATCATCATTAACGAGTTTCATAACGAATAAAATTACTTCCCATTTATAGCTTTTTATTGTCTCGTACATTCTGTACGAAACCCACTCCGCAATACACTCTACTTCATTCTCATCTAAGTCCCAGAAAGAATCATCTTCTCCCCAAAACCCTTCCAAAAGAATTCGAAATTCCACACTTTTAAAAGATTTTACATGAACTTTAAAATCCATATTTTGCCAAGCGTCTAGTCTCATTTAACACTTGGCGTCTATTTTAGCAGCTAGTTTAATTTTTCCCTTAATAAAAGTTTAAAAAAATAATAATAAAAAACTTTGTTGAATTATTTATTCTAAAACGATCAAATATTTTTCTTAAAATGCATATTTTATGACACAAATAATGACTGTTCGATTTTCGTAATTGGTTTTCTCAGCGGTCGACTTATACACCAGACATACCAGTAATTTGCTAATTGGGATAAACGGCACCTCGAACGAATCATAAAAATTCAATCGAGTCTAGAAATCGAAACATTTAAGTCAGGCCGTGTAAAACATTCGAGACCTAATCTTTCGCTTATTTGCAATCCAATTTTCGTTTCGAATATGTTGAACACAAAGTTTTCCGCACACTGTATCTTAACTATAAAAGTACATAAAAAATAAAAAACGTATCTTGAAACAAAGTCATCAAGACTTAGGGTCACTTCTAGTAGCAACATTTAAAGCTAGATGGCAGCACTATCATTCGTTCTTAGAATTCCAGCTTTTTATGTCGGCCAGACTAAAACTATAAAACAGTGATTCTCAACCTTTTTTTTGTGGCTGTACACTTTTAACGATTTCGAAATTTGACGGCACACAATGAAAAAAATTAGATTAAAAGTTGCTTAATTACCTATTTTACACTGTGTTGAATAGTTTGTGATAATAATTTTGAATGTGAAATAAAATAATGTGTACTGCAAAAGCACATTTATTAAGGGATTAATTATTTCTTTTGACCAATTTTTTATTAGTTAGGTAACAGTTATTTATTTTTTGCCAGTTATTAATTGTTAGCTTGTTTTCTATAATTATTAATTGTTATTTTTTGTGATTTCTTGTTAACTGGTTTTTTTGCTAATCATTAATTGTTAGCTTAATTTTTGTCAGTTATCCTTTGTTAATTTGGTTTTATATATTTGTTTTTTTAGTTATCCTTTGTTAATTTGTTTATTAATTGCATAGCTTACTGTAATGATAAGTTCTTACAACTTTTTTAAAATTGTGCGTCATATACAATTTAAACACTTCCATCTTATTTCAACTTATTTTAAGATTGTCAGAGACAAGACAATCGCCGACAAAGATGTTCACGTGGTTAAAGCGTGGAGAAATTATAAAAAATATATATTATATATACACTTTTCTTTAATTTAAACTTTACTCATAATAAAAAAAAGTATTATAATTTTTATTGTATCACTTCTAATATTTGGGGGCACATATTAAGAATTTGGCGGCACACAAAAGTGCCGCGGCACAGTGGTTGAGAATCACTGCTATAAAATATAACCGTATGTTTTTATATCAAAAATCTATAAAACTCACACTGTAGGTATCTAGAAAATCCTTTTTCTTTTCTTTTTTTGGGGAGGTGGGGGAGAATGGAGGTCCGTCTATTGTTTAATATAATAAATTAATATAGTTAATATTGAAATAAAAAATAGTCGTTGCTGTAAACTCCGGCAAACCTCTTAATGGAAAAAAAAATGCAGGCTACTAATACAGAAACAAAAATAAACGAAATAAAATCACAAAAGTATATTTTGAATTTACATATTATTAAAATTAAAAGATTGCAATAAAGAAATCACCTGCAATGTGCGATTTTTGGACGCACAAACCGTAATTCAAAAATTTTGTACTCAGTTCTAGAAGTCTACACGCCAATTGTAAATTTAATGAAATAATATTATTTTAATTAAATAATTGGTTAACAATTCTTAATACGAATCTTTCGCATCTCAGGAAATTTTGAATAAATTAAAAAATATTGAATACTATAATAATTAAATCGATGAGTTCTAAAATAGGTCATCTGCAGTCTATTTATTCCCTATGAAGATGACATATTTTCGGACTCATCGATTCAATTAATATGTGAATGAAAGAGATATTTTTTTTTCAATAAACAAGAATTATTTGACATTTGCAGTTAGTCAGCAAACAATTAAACTTTTTGCAATTTTTTTAGGTTTTTTTTAATTTAGCACACAGAGTGTCGCAACAGTAATAGTTTTGTTTTAGTCTGCAAATAATGAAAAAACAAATACATTAAAATGACTGACGTTTAGAACTGCGTCTAGACAAAATTAAAAAATAATGAGAAGAAATAAATAAATAAATAAAAACAACAATCTAAAATACACTATTAGTTTACTTTGAAGAAAAATCTTTATTTACGTAGAACATGAATAGGTTCTTAAAAGTATATTCTATGAGGTTTATATACAATTTCGTTTAATATGTGAAAACCTAACGGTTTTAAGTGAAGTGTACACTATAGATGGCAGCACTACTGATTTTCTTCATAATTAACAGAAACGCAAGTTATAAATTTATTAAATTTCAACCTAATATCTCAAATGAATAACTTTTAATCAAAATTAGAAGATCAATAAATCAAGATTTGATGTAATCCTGGTTTATTATTACTTGTAATTGTATCACAAAATTGCTTATAATTACAATTGTAATTGAATAGCTGAGGAATGAAGGTGTCATGAAAATTAAATGAATTTGAATGACTTAACTTTAAGGTTTGCAAGTTGCCCCCCCCCCCTTTTTTTTTTGAGCAATAGAAAATATAGACGACTATAACCTGTGTTTATCATATGAAATCTTCCAATTTAGTTCTTGCAACTAATCACATGGTTGAGTTTAATCACGTGGTTGTGCATGGCGTGTTAAAGTTACAGCTTTAAGCCATGAGTTTATTATCAAGGAGAATCAAATTTTGGATCCGATTTAATTAGCTGTCTGCAAGAGACGTCACGCGGGTGTGTCGAACCTGATTGGCTGAACCACGCGTGACGTCGCTTATAAATATCCCAATAAGGAACCTGCATGCTTTTTTTTTTTTTTCATGTTTTAAAATGAAACATCATGCCATTTTATAAAGACAGACACCAATTTCAGACCGGTGCGATAACTAGTTATTTTGTTATTAATAGTTAAAATCGCTTGATTAGCCCCTAAATCGCTGCTAGGTTTCCCATCCGCTCTGATGACGTCACAGTATAGCACAACCACGACTCCCATCATGTTGTGAAACGGTGAAAGCATATGCCGCGCCAAGTATAAATTCTGAAAAATGGCTCCAAGCAAAAACTTCAAGTGTTGCATTGTACCATGAGCAATAGTTCTACATTAAACACGCCAAATAAATAATTTTTTAATGTACCAAAAGGAGAAAAAAAAGACAAATTTGGTGCAAAGCCATCAAACGGAGGAAAAAAAATTCTCGCAAATTGTCTGCAACTACTGCATTATACCACCTAGTTCTAGGAGGTGGTGATTACACAGTTGCTAAGACCATTTTACAATAACTTACTTAATTATAATTTAATTCTGTAAGATTGTTTTTCTGATTGATAA